ATCCAGGCACTCAGGATTGCTGCAGGAAGGCAAGTTCATGGGAACAAAAAGTGCAGTGTTTCGGCCTTCACAAAGGCCTTTATCAATCTTGTGTAACATGCTCATCCTCACCTCGTGGTATCTGCGCTCAGTGGCCATGTGTCAGTGTGGTCATGCGTCAGTCAAATTATTGCCCCATGTCCGACCACATTGATGATGACGTTGGCGTGCGTGTTACGTCACGCTTGAGACGCGCACGCATGTTCGTGGGTCAAAGGCCGGGTACAGACAATCAGATTAATGGGAAACATATTTAAACTCCTTTCTTACCTTTCCTCGTTGCCCTGTCATGATTTCCCTAGTGGTTGTCTGAGAGTGTGTGTGACAAACTCGCCTTATTAAGGTTTTTATTGGTTTGTTCACTTTGTGTCCCTGTGCCCAACAAGGTCCACCTGGGTGTCGCCCTTGTTGGGAAACTTGCATGAAAGGCCAGTGTGCCTCGATTAAAATGCTATTTCAGCTTGTACTCCAAAACTGTGTCTCATCCTGTTATTAGAGGGAAAGAAGATTTGCTCCTGTGTCTGCTGTTCCAGCTTGCAGGAGACTCAACGGGGAAGTCCTTGTAAGGACTAGAGCTAATTCCCCATCCGTATCCAGAGCTCCCAGGACTGAGTGTCGTCCAGTGCCTGGGGGTGTTAGAGCTAATTCCCCATTCGGCTCCAGGAAGGAGGTGGCGGCTCCAGGACCGCAGTCAAGCAATGGTGAGTGAGGGCAAGAGTGCTGAGGTTTTACCGACTGTTCCAGCTAGGAAGCTGTCCTTGGTGGAGGTACCCAGTCGGGGTACCAGGTGATCCGTAACAGTGTGTTTCTGAGCATTTATTTCTGGTTATTGACTTTGGCTTCATTTGACTTCCCTGTATTCTGGTATCCCTGACTTTTGGCTTTCTCTCATCGTTGTGTCTCATTCTGCGTAACCGACCTCGGCAAGTATTCTGACTATTCTCTGGTACGTTAAGTTCGGCCATTCTAAGGCCCGGTAAGACGTTACCTGTTAGTCCTAGGTGTGATACAATGCTACGTGATGGACCAACTTGTAATCCTGACAGCTTGGTGAAAGGCCTCTGTGTAGGCCTGAAACATCCTGCAGTAATCCTGAGTGCCTGGACCTAATTTATTTTATATACTAAACTGGGTTTTTTCAACCTTGGTCCTGAAAAAGCACCGGGATTCCTAAGTGTGAGTGTGGAATCCTCAGTTTGTGAATTTCTAAAGTAAGATAGAGGCAGTGGCGTACTAAGGGGGGTGCCACTCATTAGGGGGGTGACTGGGGCAGACTGCAATGCCCCTCCTGCGCCCATCGCCGAGACCGGGGGTCTGCAGCTCTGCAGTGTGCAGAACTGCAGACCATGTGTCTCGCGAGCACTGCCCAATCAGAGCGTTGCCGCGGGTTACCATGGCAACGCTTTGATTGGGTCTCATGAGATCCATGGCCACAGGACCACCAGGGAGCCCACCGGACCACCAGGCAGCCCCCACTGGACCACCAGGGATTTAAGGTAATTTTTTAGTCCCCCCTGCATAACCACCCCTCTCCTCATCACCCCCTCTCCTCATCACCCCTCCTCCCTCTCACAATCACCCCCCCTCCTCATCACCCCCTCTCACAATTCTCACCCCCCTCTTACTATGACCCCCCCTCCCTCTCATCCTCAACCCCCCTCCCTGAGCTCCCTCTCACTTCACCCGCCCACACCATCACCCCTCTCCCTCTCACAATCACCCCTCCCTCTCCTCATCACCCCCCTCCCTCTCACAATCACCCTCGTCTCACTATGACCCCCCTCCCTCTCATTCTCATCCCCCCTTGGGTTCCCTCTCACTTCACCCCCACACCCATCCCCCTCCCTCTCCTGATCACTTGCCACCCCTCTCCTCAGCCTCCTCTCACAATCACCCCCCCCTCCTCCCTCTCACAATCACCCACCCTCCCTCTCACAATCACCCCATACCTCCTCACCCCCCCTCCCTCCTGTCACCCCCCCCTCTCAAAATCATCCCCCACACAATCACCCTCACCTCTCACTATGACCCCCCTCCCTCATCCTCCACCCCCCTCCCACAGGCTCCCTCTCCTTCACCCCCACCATCACCCACCCCTCCCTCTCACAGTCACCCACCCTCCCTCTCTCGCATCACCCCCCCTCCCTCTCTGATCACCCCCTCTCACAATCACCCCCTCCCCTCAATTCTCTCACCCCCCCTCCTGAGCTCCCTCTCACTTCACCCCCTACCATCACCCCTTCCCTCACACCATTATCCACTATACAAGCACACACACTGCATTCACTATACAAACACACACAGACACACACTTATACATGTGTGTCTGTGTATCTGTATGTGTGTTGGTATATGTGTATCTGTATGTGTCAGTGTGTGTCTGTGTATCTGTTTGTGTGTCTGTGTTTGTATCAATGTGTCTGTATGTGTGTATCTCTATCTGTATGTGTGTCTGTGCCTGTGTGTCTCTCTCTGTGTCTGTATGTGTGTGTGTTTTTATCTGTATGTGTGTATCTGTGTCTATCTGTTTGTGCCAGTGTTTGTCTATGTATGACTGTTTCTATGTAACTGCATGTGTGTACCTATGTGTCTGTGTATGTGTGCCAGAGTGTGTATATGCATGTATGTATCATAGGCGTGCGCAGCCTATTGCATTAGGGTGTGCACCCTAAAGCACAAACACACGCCGCGTGTATATGTATGTGTGTGTATATATATATCCACGAACCCCGATAATTTATACACTCCACAAAATTCATAAAAATTTGGAAAAACCCCCGGACGCCCTATTGTTTCAGCAGTCCAAGGGCTGTTAGAAACAATAGCCAAATATCTAGATTATCTATTCAAAGATCCGGTTACATCTTTGAGCACATGTATAAAAGATACTCCAGATTTGATACAACGTCTGAAAGAAGTAAAAGAATTTAATGGCATCTTGATTACGATGGACGTTGGGAGCTTGTATACCATTATACCACATGAAAAAGGGGTACAGGCAATGAGAGATCTCTTGAGTCACTCACAACACTACCATGGTCCATCTATTGAATTCATTTTGGAATTGCTCAATATGGCTTTACAGAACAATTATTTCCGCTTTGAAGTTGATTGGTACCTACAGATAGCAGGCACATCAATGGGGGCGGCGATGGCCCCTATGTATGCGAATGCCTACATGTACCAATATGAGTATCCTACAGAAATATGAGATACAATATATCCTACAGAAATATGACCCATTTATCACTCGATATTTTAGGTTCATCGACGATATACTCATTTTATGGAATGGTTCTAAGGAAGAGGCGATTCAGTTTACAATGAATCTAAATACACTACCGACACCGGTGAAGATGACCTCACATATTGATGAAAAAAGTGTACAATTCCTTGACATTGAAATTATGATCATCAAGAATCAATTGGAGTTCAGACTTTTTACGAAACCTACTGATCGAAACACCATATTACACTTCGACAGCTTCCATCCGAGGCACTTGAAAACATCGTTACCTTACTCACAATTTTTGCGGGTATTGCGAAACAATTCTTTAAGTCAACAATGCAACATCCAATTGGAAATTATGTGTAAGAAATTTCTCACCAGAGGATACCCACAGAGTGTATTGGAAATGGCCCTTAAGAGAGCAAAAACAACATATTCATCATCCGAGGCACCAAGGGATAGAGCAACAAACACTAGACTCATTTTTCCAATGCAGTTTAACACTGCAAGCACAGAGATCATTTCATCTATCCGGAAAAATTGGAATACTCTGGCAAGGGATCCTACTCTTCCAGAGAACTTTCATCAGAAACCCCTGTTCTGTTACAGACGGAACAGGAATTTAAGAGATATGCTGGTTAAGACGGATCCCCAACATTGTTATGGAACAGCCAAGGGCAATGTTAGGAATGTGGGGTGTGTAAGGTGTTTGGGATGTGTCACGTGTGGACATATAATCCCTTCCAAAACCTTCAACCACCCACACACGGGCAAGGTATATAGAATTCGACATCGAATTCATTGTAGGAGTGACTTTGTGATTTATAAATTAACCTGCCCCTGTGGTTTGAATTACATTGGTAAGACGGAGACAGCCCTCTGTGAGAGAATTAGGGGCCACAGGTCAAGCATCCGCCTGGCCTATCGTGATGGCCAGTCGGATAAGCCTGTGGCCCGACATTTTCTGGAGTTGAAACATCAGCTGTCATCTCTAAGATGCGTTGCGATTGATCACATCCCGACACCGATACGTGGGGGTGATCGTGCGAGACTCCTCCTACAGAGAGAAACTTACTGGATCATACAACTTGATACCCTTTCACCTAGGGGTTTAAATGAAAAATGTTCCTTTTCAGCCTTTATATGATATATGGTCCAGATCTATAACAATGGGGTGCTAATTCCAAAACAATATATATCTTAGTTTTTGTGAATTTTAAGTGTATAATACTGTTTTTTAATATATTATTTATGTAATATTTTTTTGAATACTTATGACTCATGAGACGACTCTGTAAGGGATGAGATTTGAATATGTAATTTTTAGCAAATACTTGTGGATTTTTTATACATAGTTTGATAGGGTTAATTATGCACTTTTAATACATTTCTTCACTTTTTGCACTTTATATTCATTATATTTTTAGAAGAATTGGAACTATAAGAGCTTATACAGCACATTTCAATATTTATTAACTTTAATATATTACAGCACTGGTCACAGCATTAATTAATTAATTAATATGTGAACATTGTCACTTTAGATGTATGCACTGATACTAAGTGTTCATTTAATAAATAGATCAATTCCTCTGGTCACCCTCTATAGGCTTGTTTACACATAGTTTGCCCATATATACTTTTCTGCACACTTCACATTACTTACATATACCTATAGTGCACTTAGTCCCTTAGTATTGCTATAGTTCTGAATTACATTTATTATGTTTTTTTATATTCTATGCCTTCTCATGGTGTCTCTTTTGATCCCCCCCTTTTCTTGCCGTTTGGGCTGTTGCCCGGTTGCCATGGTGACGTGATACACTATGGAGGACTCTTGTGTTTTGGTTTGCAGTGGCGCCCGTAGAAATGGGAGGTCTTTAGGAGACAAGTTAGTCTCCAGCTGCCCAGAAACAAGGCTTTCTGCACCAATTAAAACCCTTTGCCTCCGCTCACGTGATAGGTACCCGGAAGTGAATTCACTTCCGCATTGGCGACCGGTGCGAGTCTGGCGGTGGGAAAGAGCGAGGACCACCTGTGTTGTAAGTAAACTCATTATTTGTTTCCTATATAAGCTTTGCTCATTTTGTATTTGATTTATGTCCTGATGAAAGCTCTTTGAGGAGCTGAAACGTCGATACTGAACTCGGAATAAAAGTGATATTACTTGAGAAAACCGTGAGTGCCGGTTATTTTTTGAACTTATCAATTTTTGCAACCAGAGTACCAGGTATTTATATATTTTGAAGGTTGGAGTGCAGGAACTACTGCTCTTTTTGTTCTATATTTACATATATATATATATATATATATATATATATATATATATATACACACACACACACATACACTGCTGTGTGTGTGTGTGTGTGCTGCATGAGGGTGGTTTGAGGGTGTTGTGTGTGTGTAAGGGTGCTGTGTGTGTGTGTGTGTGTGTGTGTGTTTGTGAGGGTGCTGTTTCTGTGCTGTGTGTGAGAGGGTGCTGTGTGTTTGAGGGTGCTATATGTGTGTGGGTGCTGTGTGTGTGTGGGTGCTGTGTTTGTATGTGGGTGCTGTGGGTGTGTGTGTTTGGTGTATGTGTGTGAGGGTGCTGTGTGTGTGTGTGCTGTGCATGTGTGGGTGCTGTATGTGTGTGGGTGCTGTATGTGTGTGTACTGTGTGTGTGGGTGCTGTATGTGTGAAGGTGCTGTATGTGTGTGGTGTGTGTGTGTGCTGTATATGTATGTGTGCTGTATGTGTGGGTTGTATGTGTGTGCTGTGTGTGTGTGGGTGCTGTATGTGTGAATGTGCTGTATGTGTGTGCTGTATGTGTGTGTGTGTGTGTGCTGTGTGTGTGGGTGCTGTGTGTCTGTGTGTGTGTGTGTGCTGTATGTGTGTGGGTGATTGTGGGGGTGGAGGTGGGGGTACATTACTTAATATCCCCCCTCCCTTCTTACCTTATGTAGGGAAGGGGATCATGCTGCTGCTTTCCCTGGTGGTCCAGTGGAGAGTGAACTCTAGCCCCTGTGCCAAATATAGGATCCGCCCTGGGTGCCAAATGCTCCAGGTACGCCCCTGGATAGAGGTAACAGAATGAGACAAGCAGGTCCCGAAAAGAGTACAGTTAAAGATCAGTGATGCATGAGATGTCAGAATCAAACATTAAAAAAAAGACAACAGACATTAAGGTGTAAATGGTTTACCTCTTTCACCCTCGGCTACCTGGTAGAGGTTAGGGAACGAAAAACAAACAAAAAAAACATAACACGGCTGCATCATCTACCAAAATGAATCTGCCCACAGAGCAGACAGGAGGGCTATGGCTGAGAGCATGCCAGAAATACACATTTGTTGCAATTATTGTTATATATAGGTGTATAGGTGCGTACTGGAGTTGTCAGCAAACCATTGGAATGTCTCTTACACTATGAAGCAATACTCCTGCCCTAGTCAGTTTTTGTCTTGTCTCCTGAGTGCAAGTTGGAGATGGTAAGACTGGACCCAGCGGCCGCTCTGTCCCATCCATCTCCCCAATCCAGAGATACGCATTGCCTGTGTGGGGTCGCAGAGTGCCAATCAAGGATGTGCTTTTGCTTGGTGGTATTTTTTAAAATCGGAGAGAGCCAATCCCTCCACTGCCTGGCAAGACAGAATAAGTAATGACTCAGGCGGATCTCTCGATCCTCCAGACATATCAGATCACACCAGTTTTCAAAGAGATAAAAAATGCTTTAGGTGAAATGGGGACTATTTGGAAAAGTTATAGCAGTCTTGGTAAGATGTTCATTTTGAGAACTGCTACATGTCCCAACCAGGTGTGGGTACAACAACTGTTTGAAGTCTGCCTGAATTTTATGCAGCAAGGGTAGAAAGTTGGACCGGTAGAGTTCTGCTGGGTCCCCCATCACCGACCATTCAGGTGGTTATATGGAGCTGTAATCCAGGTCCCCCAGCTTATCACCAAATTCCATCTCTTTTAGAGTGGTGAACATGAAGGTTCTATTAACATGGTCGAACGCGTTCTCGGCATCTGTGGATAGTAAAAGCAGGAATCTAGTCCCGCGTCAATCCAGGTGTTGTATGGTAAATAGGCATAGAGTGCTATCTTTAGTCTCTCGACCTGGGATAAATCCCATTGAATCTGGGTTTATTAGATCTGGGAGCAGTAGCTGCATTTGCGTGCTAATAATTTTGTGAACAGTTTAACATCCACGTTCAGGAATGAGATAAGACAGTAACTGACACATACTTCAGGATCTTTAGCAGATTTCCGGAGAACCGTGATTGTGCCTGCCCCGATGACTTGTTGCAGAATTCCCTCCATCTCACTTGTTGCATAACTCTTCCCCCATCCGCCAACTTATTTAGGGTCTTTGTCAATTTGTCACAAAATATTGAGAGAATGTCTTGTAATGTTTCTTAGAACCTTTCTTTGTTCAACTTTTTGTCTTTAATAATGAGCTGCAATCCATGAGTGAAGTTGGGGTGAAGAGCTCAATGAGAACCAGCAATAAGGTCATGACTTTAAATGAGATCCTTTGTAGCTTTGGTAACGAAATCAATTGCCAACTTGATCTTCTAGTAGACAGATTTACCCTGATTTACATTCATCTTCAGGTTGAAAAACCATGTCATGGTTGCCCTGGATAGCACAATGAAAGCGATTCATGGTTGCCACCCTGCACCATTATTCTGGTAGGCCTTAATCTGTTTACAATCTATGGGTAAGAGGTCTTTTTTAGAGATGATAAGGATTGTCTGACAAGAGGAATACAATGTTCTGTAAACTAGCATTGAGACTTCAGTAATCTGCAGATCCTCTTCATTTTCTAAAAAATATCTTATGGGCTTCTTGTTTCTTCTCCCTTGTATCTATTAGGTAGACAATGGCTTTGATATTGGGGAACCACAGTTATGCTAGCGTGATAGACACCTCTTTGATTTGTAAACTAGATGACCTGAACATGTCTTCAGCAGACATACAAAATATAATAAATATGATGTATTATCATAAAATTCCAGTGTATCTTGCAGTGAGTGACAAAACTATTGCCAATGCAGCCAGTTCACTGGCGCCGTGGCCCACATGCTGAAGTGCCTATCGAGTGGTACCAGTGTGGTGCTGTGGCCCTGTAACAGAACAAACGGGCCTCTGTAATATCAGCAATGCTGGGAGAAAGCGAAAGATGGAAACTTTTATTGGGAACTGTGTCAGAGGTAGAGCAGGCACAGGCAAGAAGCAGGCACAGGAAGAGGTTTAGAATCAAGAAGACACCCAGCTCCAGAACCACACTCCTCTCAGCATCAGCCAGCAGCAGGAACTCAGGCAAGCCACACTCCTGCACATCAAAGGTGTATTAACAGGAGGGTGCATCAAAATATAAATGACTATGACATATGTATGTATATGTCTGTGTGTGTGTGTGTGTATGTGTCTATTTTTGTGTCAGTGTGTGTATATGTTACCGTGTGTGTGTCAGTGTGTGTATCTGTGTGTCAGGGTGTTTGTATTTGTCAGTGTGTGTACCTGAGTGTGTATGTATGTTTTAGTGGGTGTATCTATGTGTGTCAGTGTGTATATGTGTCAGTGAGTATTTGAATGTGTTTGTATGGGTCAGTGTTTTTAAATGTGTGTATCTGTGTGAGTTTTAATGTGTACAGATATCTGTGTAGGTATGCATGTATGTATGTGGTAATGTATGTGTGTATGTGCATACATCCCAGCAAACACCAACACTACACACATATACACCCCTACATGCACATACTATTCCATTTAAAAAAAAAATCAAACACACAAACACTGCTCACAAATACAGACATGCATGTAAGGGCAAATTGTAGATCCCCAGCTGGCATAAAATATGTATGGTTCCACCACTACACAAAGCACTTAACTGGTATACATAGCTTGAATTCAGCTTGAATGTTGGGAGATTCGTTGCTGCTCACATACCTATAACACTTACAGCCAAACAACATCTAAACAGACACCTTAACCCCAAAAACAATCTGTTACCTTACACATGCAGTCAGCCATACACAGCCACAAAACACACATCATTCACAGCTACAACACTTACAGCCTCCGTACACCTAAACAATGCACACATTAACCCCCACATATACATACAGCAGCACACAAATCACCCTAACTTCTACAGCCCGCTATAGCGGTTAGAGTAAGGAGTCAAACCATTTAAGAACGATTCAACAACTTTCCTGGGTCCTGCCCCTGCTGCCAGAAACGTATGCCACTGAACTATGCCTCACTGCTGTGTTCATTGGCTGAGAATATCAGCTGATGCTCTTAGCCACTGTGTAACCCCTGAACAGCAGGACTTAGCTCAGTGGAGCTTATTTTACCAGGAAATAACCCACACCCAAGTGAAAGGTACTGCACATGCCTATGCTTGACACATAGACAATCCTTGTTTTTAAAGTAATAGTGTTATAAACCACCAATTCAGTTAACATTTCCATAAGAAAGTAACTCTAGATATGTTGGTGCAGTATAAGCATAATTTATGTGATACTATTCCTATACCTATGGCTACTGCTTTAACAGCATTGACATTGTTTTTCAACCCTTTAACCTATTTCACTCATCATCAGATGTATTCTTATTCAAAATGTTAATTTTCTTTTGTTACCTAAAATATACTGTTTTTCTTCTGTTTTCCACAGTCCAATTTTTGTGTTCTATATTTTACTTTACTGTAATGGCATTATGAGAAATGAAAATAACTTTCTAATTTGAAAAAGTTGAAAAAATAAAAATAATAATACATGATAAGATGTATTGGATAAACTGGACAGCAGAGGCAGATTTCACACTTGCTGGTTTGTCCAGTGATGAAAGAATACAGCATTTTCTATTTCCTATATTTTTACTCTTGTACCTTATGTCAATCTGTGGAAATGTCATAATTGCAACAACAATATGGACAGAACATAAACTCCATACTCCTATGTACTTCTTCCTGGGAAATCTCTCATTCCTGGATATTTCCTACTCATCAGTGACTGTGCCCAAAATGTTGATACCATTGGTTGGTGGGAGCACCAAGATATCTT